TGCTGCCTGGGGATGGAGGAGGCTGCGAAGCAGATAGTGAGCTCGATGAGCACGATCCTCCGCAGTGAGTCAGCCCACCATGACGATGTCAGGGCGTAGATCAGGGCCCACAATAATTATGCTGAGGAAAAGGAAATGTGGAGGATCCCCGGTCAGCACACACGCAGCTGGCAGAGGGAAAAATATGGGCTGACAGGAGGGAAAAGCGCGATTTTTGCATCATGGGCTCATGGGCGGGCAATTGATCTTCAGTCCATCCACGGGCCTCTTTGGCTGTTTTTGAGAAGACATGATCCAGACTGCCTCTCACCCACAGGGGACAACGAGTCATCATTGCACTTCTCTCTCTCCTCCTCTCCTCTCTCAAAGAAAATCCTCCTCTCTCGCTCTCCTCTCTCTCTCCCTCTCTCTCGCTCCTCGCTCTCTCAACTCTCTCTTACATCTCTCTCGCTCTCTCCTCCTCTCTCTCCATCTTCTCCCTCTCTCTCCCGTCTCTCTCGGTCTTGCTCCTCTCTCCTCTCTTCTCTCGCTCCTCTCTATCTCTCTCTGTCTCTCTCGTCTCTCTCGATCTTCTTCGTCTCCGTCTTTTCGGCGCTTTTCTCTCTCTCGTCCCTGTCCCTCTCGCTCCACCTCTCTTTCCTCTCTTCTCTCTCCATTCGGGAGTGTATTACATGTCGGGAGTATAAAGAGGCCGAAACATGTAATGCATGATGAACAATGGGGAACTCCCCTGATGACCAGTGCAGTCACATAGATTTATATATAGACTCTGATTCAGGAGACTACCAATATCAAAACCTGTACATTTTAAGCGTTCGAATGCGTGTTCCTCAATGCCCCACACAAATATGGACAAAGTGCCGCCTAAAACTTTTAAGTTTGAGTTTTTTGACTCCCGTTAAAAATCTCTCCCAGGCTCTCGCCTAATGGGCGACCCTGCCTCTGGTTCCCAGGGGAGGTTGGTAAAATCCCCGGCTCTCGACCCAGTGGGGGCGGCTTCTGAGTTACCTTCTCAGGGGTGGGGTTGTATTTGTGATGGTGCATAGGCCAACATTGTTAGCAAGCTAGGTTAATCCGACACTGAACTGGTGTCTCCTGAGTCTTAGTTTTAGAGTATAGTTCAACACCTGGGTGTAGTATAATAACCCCTCCCTGTTTTGACTGAACCTAAGCCTATCTCAAAACAGTTCCAATTTCTCACAACAGTCTGGGAACACCTAAACCATGGCACAGCTGGATAGCCAAGCCTTTCTTCAGAAACAGAAAGAAGCCTATCTTCAACACAGTAGTGTTGTCAACAAAGCCCAAGGGGTCCTCACTCATCAACACCAACTACAATCGTACAACTCTATTCCAAAGAGGCATCACCCCAAGCCACCAACGGTAGTAGACACCTTCCATCAAAAGAAGTATATAGATAAGTTTGAAAGAGAGTACGGTAAACTCTATAAGGAATCACTACAAGAAGCAATAACTCAAAACACCGTCACTCTGGAGCTTGAGAAAGCGAGATGTCATGAAATCCTACAACACACAGAGAAAATGTTATGTTTATCACCTGACCCTCCATCCGAGTTGAAGAAGATATACACAGCCTTTCTACAAGAAATTAATGCCAGCACACATGTACCTTGCCCAGAACTAAAGAAAAAACTAGAAGATACACCAGCTACTACCATTAAACCAGAAGAAAAGAATGTGAAAGGTAAACAGAAGAAGAAACAACCATCCAAACGCAAGACAGGTAGCACTGCACCACCACTTAGAAAGCAACCAAGGATCGATCATTTTTTAGGGAAAAGCCGGCAAACGACCCGAAATCCAACATAGGTATACATAATCTAAGTTCACGCACCTTCACACCCCAAGAACTACAACTACTACAAAAAGGTTTGTCTTTTGCCCCCTCTCCAGTGATTCCTACACCACTAAGGCATAAATATTATTTAGATAAGTACGATCAGTTTTGTAAATCACTTAGACTAATGAGTAGGAAACAAAAGACGAACACTGCTATCAGTTATTCACGTGTATCCAAATCAGTAGATCACCCCAGCAACATATATAGAAAGATGAAATTTGTACCTCAACCGGTGTACGAGTCAACAGTTACTAATTACTCTGGAATTCCCGACCTCGAAGATTATATCTTTCACACCAAAGAGATGTTAGACAAAGAGCTACCAAGAATCTGTGTACAGAACCAAAACAATTTGTCACCTCAACAGCAAAGAGCTATACGAAAACTTCAAAGAACCAGACACTCCATAACCATTAAACCAGCGGATAAGAACCTGGGAATAGTGATTCTAGACACAGATGATTACCTGATGCAATGTTGCCATATCCTCATGGATGAGAAAAGTTACCGGGTAGCAGAAAGATACCCACATGACGAGATCAGAAAAAGAATCATGAACACTGTGATAGCTTTTAAGAGAACAATCCAGAACGTCAATGGAAAGCTATACAATTTTCTCCAAACATCTGTCAACAATGTTCATCATAATATGCCGAAACTATACGGAATACCCAAAATGCATAAAGACTTTGAAAGAATACCACCACTGCGTCCAATTGTTGCACAATCCAGTTCTATGCTCAATGCTACGGCCAAATTTATAGATCACGCCTTGCAACCACTAGCCCAGTCATATGAAGATCACATACAGAATTCCACATCTTTAATAGTTCGCCTTGAAACCCTTGAAATTCCTGAAGACGCAATCCTGGTAACAGTAGATGTTGAAAGCCTATATCCATCTATACCACAGACAGAGTGCCTAGATATTGTCTATAACCAAATGATCCATAAAAGACACCTCGTACTAACCAATCCAAACCTCATCATCAGGCTTCTTCACATCTGTGTTAACTACAACTACTTTGAGTTTGCCGGACTAGTATTCCAACAAACACACGGAACCGCCATGGGTGCAGCATTCTCACCCACTATAGCTAACATCTTTCTATCTGTAATACTAAAGCGATTTCTGGAATCCCAACTTCATCAACCACTTCTTCTTGTCAGGTATATTGACGATATCTTCATTATCTGGCCCAACAAAAAAACACTTGATCAATTCATTTCCGCCTTAAATTCTTATCACCCGAACTTGAAATACACCCACACCTGCTCCAACTCCAGTGTGAATTTCTTAGACCTAACTATCTACAAAGGTCCGGACCATTATCGCAGTCACAAACTAGATATCAAAACCTATCAAAAGCCGCAAAATTTGTATCAATATCTGGAGTTTTCTTCTGCCCACCCACAAAGTGTTTTCAAGTCGTTAGTCCTAGGAGAATGTATAAGATTCGTGCGCTCTAACACTAGACCAGAGACTTTCGCTGCCACTACCATGACTTTCCAAAAACGCTTACAAGAACGAAGATACCCGAAGAAGTTCATCGGCAAAATTTTATCGCGAGTTAAATTCTCAAATCGCCAAAACTACCTGACTAGAAGTATTCTCCAAGAACAACAGAAACATCTACCCCTACCTCTGTTCAAGTGCCATCCTCCGCCAAAGTTCGATAGACTGAAGCAAATCGTATTGCGTAACTTCAACCGTATCAGCCATCTAGCTTCTCCACCACGGTTTATCACACTAGCATACCCAACTCTCCGCAAGTCTCTCATCAGAGCGTCTGTAAATCCTACATTGGAGCAGTCTTTCGACATCTTATTCAAAATAAGTCATTTACCTCAAAAAACCTGCCATAAAGTCAACGGGCTGTTGCCAACACTTCAAACAGCATCCTCTCTTGTAAGAATCTGTGGTCATAAACTGTGCCGTACCTGCAGCCACCTCAACTGCAGTCCAGTCTTCTCCAGCAAGATCACGAAGCAGACTTTTCCAATTCGCCACAAGGCCACGTGCACGTCATCGTACCTGATTTATCTCATCACGTGCACCAAATGTAGAAAGCAATACGTGGGCATGACAACGAAACAGTTAAATACACGAATCCATCATCACCGCTGGAATATACTGCAAAATCGAACTTCAGGCATCGGTTTGCACTTTAATTTCCCCAATCACAACATTGATAATCTTTCGGTACAAGTTATAGACATGGTGCCACAAAACAGCCCGAACTCCCTACAGAAACTACAAAGCTTAGAACACTACTGGATCAGCCAACTTAAAACACTGATACCTCGTGGACTTAACGTCAGCCCAGGAGTCCATAGAATATAGAAGTAAATATTTTATAATACAGGATCGGGCCTCCCACAGAGGTGGGAGGCCCGATCCTCCCACCTCTGTGGGTTTTTTTACTCTCTCTCTCTCTCTCTCTCTCTCTCTCTTCTCTCTCTCTCTCTCTCTCTCCTCTCTCTCCTCTCTCTCCTCTCTCTCCTCTCTCTCTCTCTCCTAACAGTGGTTACTATATATAGCTACAAGGTAGTGATGTCATGTGGTTACTATAATCTACTCATAGAGACATAACAAGGGTAGCTGTGTATATAATCAGCTAGATAGGTAGTTCACTTCAGTATAAGCAAGCCAGCAAAAGCAACCAGGTATATATGCTAAATGTACATGTTAGTCACTGCTGTAGAATCAATAAAACTATGCTGAAGAATATCTGTGTTTGTAATTGAGGTTTCCCTGTTTGAAAGAAAATAAGAAATAGATATATACATACGTAGATGTGTAAACAATTAATGTATACTGCTGGGCTCCAAAGGGTGGAGTGGCCTCGCCCCATTCGGGAGTGTATTACATGTCGGGAGTATAAAGAGGCCGAAACATGTAATGCATGATGAACAATGGGGAACTCCCCTGATGACCAGTGCAGTCACATAGATTTATATATAAGACTCTGATTCAGGAGACTACCAATATCAAAACCTGTACATTTTAAGCGTTCGAATGCGTGTTCCTCAATGCCCCACACAAATATGGACAAAGTGCCGCCTAAAACTTTTAAGTTTGAGTTTTTTGACTCCCGTTAAAAATCTCTCTCTCTCTCTCTCTCTCTCTCTCTCAGGCTCACATGCCGCGGCTGATGTCCCCAGAGATGGGTGCATATACTTGTCTGTATCAAACAGCCTCTACCTGCTCTCTTCCACATGTATATATATGTGTAGCCAGCAACTAAGCTTGAGTTATCAGGGTTGCAGTGCTACATCAACATGATAATTATGTGGGTGTGCCTGTGCTAAACTTCTGTACTGCACATGACCATATTCTTGCGATGGCAGAGTTTTGAAATCGGGGTTGATTAATCTGTTGCTGGCTCAAGGTTGCCATAAATGCAATGCATTCAACTAGGGTTATCTGGGAAACAAGTCTTCCAAACATGCTGCATTCACCTGAGCATTCTCTGTTCCACTTCATACAGGAGGCCCGCCAGGATCCAGCCATATTGTTCGTATTGGCTGATGAGGCCACTCTGGCGGGGGTTGTCGGGGCTGCTGGCAGCCCCGTACACCCCCAACCGGTCCCTCCGGGGGCAATACCACACAACCATTACACCAACGCCATACGTGAGTGGTTGAAGAGGGAGGTGCTTTTGGTTGCCTCCACAGCAGTTCCAGGACAAGTCATCCCAGATTTGTCATGTCCTGCTATACCAGTGGTAATCAACAGTTGTATTGGTAGTAAAATAATTCCTGCAAAACCTCCAGGAGGTGCTTTAGGAGCGATGACACCCCTCGTGTGAAGCAGTGATTGGTTTTCAGATCCCTGCTGTCTGTAAATTAAGCACGTTCTCCCTAAGAGATCTGCCATTTATGTCACATGACATTTTGATTTCCTTACCTGATTTCTTAACATGGTGACTCAGCACAACCAAGAAATCTGCAGGTTATAGTTACCGTGTACATGGAAAGGGACCATAAGTCGCTGAAATGTTAAAAGGCAAAACAGCACTTGTGTGGTACTTTGCCGGTGTTGCTCCTCTCATATAAACATTGCCATCATGGGCAGTGGAAGAAGGCTGGCTGCACACCCCTCCCTGCAATCGTTGCGACTGTCTAAACTTTACCTCGTAACGGAGGGCATGAATGGCATGATTGCTCTCCGCATAAAAATTTCCATTTCTAATACTTACCGAAAGTACATCGTTGGATTTTCACTCGTGTTTCACGCCATGTCTACTTGTTTGCCTTTTATTTTTCCTGCCCTCATAGCTCTGAAGTGTATAGGCACCCAATGAATAATATAGGCACCTCCAGTCCACACGGCAAGCCGAGCAGTTTACGTGAGAGTCGACGGCACTGAGGGGGTCGTCCAGGAGGTAGACGTCTGCCTCCTGGTAGACTGCTCTCGCCAGACTCACCCTCTGCTTCTGACCTCCGCTCAGGTTGATCCCCTGTACATGTGTACACATATGTTTGGTTACATACACAGTAGTTGTCTCACTTAGTGAAGAGATGAACTGAAGGGTCAACCCTCAATTTACAACTCTTTGCCGGTTTGTTCTATAAGAACATTAAGAACATATTTGAAGGAAAACCGGCAAGAGTTGAATATTGAGGGTTGGCTCACTCTGACTCTGACCCCTTCAACTGTTCCATTGGCTTT